CATTAAATAGAAAACCTTAGATAGGTCAAAATTATGCTCAGCTGAGCGCCTATGCGAAGTCTCGTTCAAAACTCTCATAGCACGAGATTCGACTCCTAAAAACGGCCATACAAACAATATATTAAATATTTTGTTGGTAGTTTCTGACAAATTACTATATTACCTAACTGTGAATAAAAGATAAAATACATAAAAGTTTTTATTTCTTTTTTTTTTAGAAAATTGATTTTAAACTTGCAAGTTGTTCTAAATATTCGCTTTTAACAGGCAAATGTTCCGCGTTAGATGTATAGCGCGAAATATTAAAATTATGCTGAAAAGAAAGAACTTAATTGGAGCTTTACGTTGATGTAAAGATCATAAAAATATATTGATCAGGTCACACAGCACAGCTTGCTGAACTTCGTCAAATATTGTTGTAGAGAAGCTATTCGACAATTAAAAAAATTAAATATTTAATGACCTTGACGCTTAATTAGCAGAACTCGCCGTTTGCATCTTCTTTTATTAAAGGAATTTACAGGTAGCTACTTGAAATTTCAGAGGCGTTAATTATGAGGTAGTGCATTTTTTGAGTTACTGGTAGTACTGGGCGACAAGTGAACAAAAACCAAAATGTAATCGTTTATAGCCGCCATACAATCAAAGCACTGTAATAGCTAGCTGGAGGGAAAAGTCAGCCAAATAAAAGGTGGGTTTTATTAGAAAATCGATCTCGAATTCGCAAAAATTTTGAAATAGCCCTTGCTTTACGAACATTCACTGCCTTTCCTCTTTCACACACAACATTAAATTTGTCATCAATAAAAATAGTATTCTCTTAGTTTTTTTTTGTTGAAAATACTAAATATGTTATAATATCTCAAATAGGTCTCACGGAAGAGCTGGTCAAACTTTGACAAATATTGTGAAAGGGACACACTTCGGAAATATTTAAAACAAAAGCGCGGGTAAATAATCTCAATAAAATGATTGACCATAAATAATCCCCATTCTGAGAGTGGCCGAAAAAAGTTACATTGCACTACCAAAAGAAGGCAAACAGTAGAAAGGAGCGGAACATGACACCTCCCACAGGCGAGAGAAAGGTCAGTTTGCGTCTCGACTAATGTCCATAACTCGAGAACGAAAAATCGCCCGAACTTGCGGTTTGCACTCTCTGTCACCAGAAGGGTTCCCCTCAAAAAATTAAATTTTTTTTTGTCAAAACTAAAAGTTCGATCCCAAATCCGTACCTGGTTTGAGATGAAACCACCCATATATATCAGAGAACGCAGGCCGAATCGCTCCTGCGAAAACTAAGCATCGCACAGGAAGATAGAAAAATTAGTTTTTGTTCTGTTTTTTTTAGAAATTAACTTTTTATTTGGTCATTTTAAGGCCACCGTTTTAATTATAAACTTGCTGGGCTTCATCAATAACCCCTATATCAACCCTTTTTAGACAAGTATAAAGCATGCCGAGCATTTTACCATGTTTTGAAAACCCCTTCAATTCTGACGCGTACTCTGGTTTTGGATCCTTATCCAAGCGCATCTTGACGGCAGCTGTTCTGCCAACACCTCCTAGACAGCTTTCAAAGCCTGCGCGTCACGTGATATGACGTCAAATCCCGGAGGCCTGCACGAGCGCTGATTGGATGCGGGTGCCGCGTCAGCCTTCGCGTAGGACTATGATAGGAAACGAGTCCCACAAGAACGCTTACGCGGCACTCGAATGCAATCAGCACCCGTGCAAGACTCCGGGAAGTGACGTCATATCACGTGACGCGCAGGCTTTGAAAGCTGTCTAGGGCTGTGTTCCAAAATTTACTCGATCCGACTCCGGAGTAAAAGTTTCGTACCGTGGCGTTCCAAAACTTACTCGAGCTTACTCGATGACGTCAGAACTCGCGTTCCAGAAGCGAGTTGTTTACTCCGGAGTACTTACTCGCGCTACCCTCCTCGATCGGGGGGTAAAGTCGGATCAAATCGAGTAAATACGTCACGTGATCTGTTCGTCGTCTGCTTTCTGCGCCGACTAGAGCACTATGTAGCTTCTTCGGAGCAGAGTAGCGCAATCTAGAACGCCGTCTCTCGGCGACTAGCGGCGAACGCCCGGAGGTTCCAACTGCGGTCAGAAATGCATGGAGAACGTGAGAAAATCGTTGTTTCTTCAGTTTTGTGGGGATGTGCGGAATGGAAATCATTTTTGACATAATAATGAAACATTTTGGAATAATATGCGATAAGTTTTGTGCCATACAAGGACCTGACTTGTTTGAAAAAATTGCCTGAGCGGCGTCATGCAGCAGACGACACGGCGACGTCACACCATTCACGTGACCCGCTCCGGCCAACCCGAAAAGCCCATCTCCGCTGCGAGCAAAAATCGTCTGCTCCAAACGCCATTGCCTTGGAAATTGCCTTCTCAAAATTTGCACACGCATCCGATATTATTAAAACTTTGATAAAGTGTTTAGCGCTTTACTAACTTCACGACAGGCTAGTTTTGAAAAATGTGAACTCGCCGTTAGTTTTTTAATCAGCCGCGTTATGTCGATCTCCATGTATTATCCCATAGGGCGGGCCGCCTCCTGGAACCCTGAGTACCACGTGACTCGCGCCGAGCCGCTCTGTCGGCCATGTTGTCGGCAAAACACGGGGTTCAAAGGATTGCGCTACTCTGCTCCGTAGGAGCTATATAGTGCTCTAGCGCCGACAGTCGTCAAAGCTCGCTTGCTCCGTTGGTTTTGGTGGCGGACGTTCGAAATGACAAATAATTAGGTGCAGCATGTGTGGTTATTGCGATTTGCTGTTGTCAGCGCAGGAATTGACTGCATTACATCCAGACCGTCCACCTTCCCCGGGAACGTGTACTTGTTATTATCTGAGTGCGAGCGTAAACAGGAGCTTCTCCGCATCCTCGTCCTCGGCGTTGGGGGAATGCCGTATTCTCACGTTGAAGGCCGAAAATGTTTGAACTCGGTATATGATAATGTAGTATTTTTGTTTCCTCCAGAGTGTGTGTAATGAGAGGATAACGTTTGTAAAGCAGTGAAGGCTTCGAAAATTTCACTGTAATCAGATTCGCGTCAAAGCGAACGTGAGTTTCATATCATTCTGGAGAAAGCACCCTCGCGCTGTACCGCTACACCGTGTGGAAGACATTTTTGCAAAACATAATCGGTGCAAATTACAATGCGTGGAATACATGCGTTTAGGGCACCGCGACTGGAATTGCAGCGATCGCGCTGATTAATAAAAACACATTTTTTTATGTCTAGCTGTAAGGAGTAAGTAATTTTGATCTCAATGTACAGCTCAAAACGAAGGTGAGTAAAAGGAGCTGGTGGATCCACCTCAAAAAACACCGCGTCGTCATTAATATTGCCGTTCTTCGGGTGCTTTCTCCATGATCAAAAGGATCGTCTGCTATTTTCTGCCATCGCTGCTGTGTTTTCTTTTTGCCGTCGCCCAAGACAAAGCCAATTCGCGTAGTGTCCATTATCCTGGCCGTTCCAAAATCGAGTCGCGGATCGTTTACCTCGCGATGTCACGTGGTATTACCCGCTGACGTAGGAGGCAGGTTACTCGGGTAAGATTTGGAACATAGCCTAGGAGGTGTTGGTTCTGCCCTCCGACAGCCAGAGCGCGTGTCTCGCCCTCCCGCCCGCCCGCCTCCCTACCCACTGTCGTAAAAAAACAAAGAAATGTAGCGCGCACGCGTGGCCAGGCGATAAGGAATGCTTCGCTGTTCGAAAGAGCATGACATTGCAAGATTAAACTTTGACTTTTGGGCTGGTCTTGGTTCCTCGCTTCAGCCGTCGGAGGGCATGACAGCTGCCGCCAAGATGGCCGTCTGGGCAAATATTTTTTTTGGAATACATCTATGTGTAAAGACAGGCACGTAGCCAGGAGGCGGGGGGCATGGGGCCCGGGCCCCCCCTCCCCCCCCCCCCCCCTCCCCCCGAAATCTTTCATTTTGATGAGACCTCCTCTTCCCCCTCCCCCTTGTGCAGGATTTTGTCATGGGCGCACCCCCCATACAATATCCTGGCTACGTGCCTGTGTAAAGGTACATCGTGGTCGCCGGAACAAGTTCGCGGGTATGTGAGATTTTGATAGGGCGACGGAAACAAAGCGCCGAAATGCTCGACCAGGCAAAAGGAAACGAACAGCGTTGCATTCGTTTATTTATTTATTCGTATTTTTTTTTAACTTAACTGCTTCCTGGGATTAGAATACTCAGACCAGAAAATGTTGCGTGGTTCTCACGTTTTACGGGTTAAAAATTATTCCAAATTGTTCGAATTGTAAAATATAGGTGTTATAGCAACTTAGAACAAACATTGATATTGAACTAACCTCGCGATTGCTACAAACATTGCTGGAGTGGCTATCAATGATCGCATTTTGTTATTCTACTATTTTTATTTGTTCTCTAAACACACCTGTCTAGTACCAGGAACTTGGTGGAAAGAGGGGGGGGGGGGGGAGGCTTTTGAAAGTGATTTTGAGCCGGACTTACAGGTTTCTGAAAAGTGCTCCCGTCGTGAACGCCGTTCCTTTGTTCTCTAAACACGCGATGAAACTACGCCGCTATTGAAGTTCGAAAGGACCGTCCGGAACCACCCTTGCGTGCGAGGGCAATCCAAACATACGTACCAGAACGATTTCGCCAACGGAAAGACTCTGTGCGGTCCACATTGAAACATAAATAAAGCGTGTGCCGTGATCTGTTTGTGGATTTGTTCAGTGGGGTTTATACCTTCAATTTCACGACTGAATGTTGTTCAGTCGTGAAAGACGTTCACTATCTGCAGCCGTCATTATTCTGCAGCTTGTACGGGCCTCGTCTTTCAATTTGGCCGTGTTTACCACAGGGGGGGGGGGGGGGGGGGGGGGAGGGCTTGTCAAAAAAGGGTATACTATAAAGCAAGGCCCAGACGAAGTGCGCGAGCGCGTAGGCGACATCTCTAAAGGTAAGTGGACGTCGACGATCCTCCAGTCAGAGCCACGATGATGCAGCAGTTTCTGCTCCTGGCCGGCTTGGCCAACCTGGCGATGACCGCAGAGGACTGCTTCACCAATGGTACGCAAAACCCGTGCAGCGCCCGTTGTTTGGGTCAGGGGACACGTCCGATGGGCTCACACTGCTAATACATTATATATGAAAGACGGTCACGCAGACGCCTTCTGAGGTCTTCCTTGTATAACGCTCCTATCGTACAAAAACTCTCTGAAGACGTGTTCGAAGCGCACATTTGTATGAATGACAAACATATTTCGAGCGTGCTTGAGACGTGTCGGCTGATAAAAGAGAGTTTTAGGGCACCGTATTTGCATATCCGATACGGTACTATGGGCCCTGTTACGCACTGCGCATGTCTGAGTCTTCTAGCAGTCCGTACCGGAGGCCCATCGTACGTATCGTATGTGCAAGAACGGTTCCCTAAAACTCTCTATTACCTGTGTCATTCCGCAACGCCGAAGCGCTACACCGGAGAAGTGGGTTAAAAATATATACATAATAAGGTTAATAGATTACACATTTTATACCGTTCCGGGGGCTCATACTATGATTGTGTAGTAAAAATATGCAAAAATTGTTTTATTCGGGCAAACATTGAGATATATTGTATAATCATCTGTACGATTGGCTATTGCATATACTTTATGGGAAAGCAGACGCCCGTGACTTTATTATTCATTGACAGTAAAATGCGCGAAGCAAAACAACAATAACAAAACTATTTTGGGGATTTACGCGTCAAACGCACGAAGGGTATCTGGCACGCCCGGTGAAGAACTGACGATTAATTTAGTCCAACTGGCGACATTCTGACGTACAACCGAGATCTCAGTTACACGGCACTTCCAAGTTTCAACACAATAAGCTTCTGTCAGATTGCGGGCACCTCGGCCGGGGCTCCAACCCGCCTGCTGGAGTCAGGGCAGCGGTTTGCCTGAGAGTAGTCGAGGTGGCTTGGAGTACGCGAGGAAATACGTGATATTACTCGTATCAGAGAGGTGTTTGCATTCTTCCGAGAGGCACATCCGCTGTTCGTAAGGTGCGAACGCATCAAATAGATAAATTACCTTAATAGATAAATAAATACTTAATAAATAAATACTTTTCAGCACGCGGGACATCATGCGATTCTGTGGTTCATGATATGGAAGAAGACGTAAGTTATAATTATTTATATTCTATGCTCGGTGGCAACTTTCTCTAGCAATCTGGCCTCAGGTAAATATTGTGTGTCTGCAGCTTCGATCGACAGTGGTGAACACACCGGTCCCCATGCCTTTAACTATAAAGTAAGCGGAGTATGTACCCATGCAGTTACTCTAGTTTCGACAACATTAGCCCCAAAAGTAGTCCCAATGTAAGTATATAACATGTCTGCAGCCCGATAAAGAAAAGTCATCCAAGAGAGCTACAAAGCATATGGTTTCAAACCCCAACGATTGTTTCAAGGGATACTGAACCAAAATTTCGAACTCACAAGACAAGGCAGGGCGGATAGGCGGGACGCTGCAAAACTAAAACAACATCACTTATACAGCGACATCAATAACGGATCTCCGTATTTTGGAAGAGAAGGGCGCGATTGAACACGGCCTACGAGAAAAGTCACGTCACGATTCTCACTCCCTCTCTTCCTCGCTCCGTCCCGTCGAGCTGGTGAACCGAAACGAGGAGGAGACAAGCGAAGCCGCTTCCCCTCATTCTAAAATTTGCCAGGAGGACAATGACGTCATAGCCCTCACGTGATCGTGCCCTTCTTTTCCGAAAGTACGGCCATTCGTTTGAGATATCGATGTATGAGTGATGTTTTGGAGTTCGTAGCGTCCCGTTCAATGCTTCTGCGGCCCTATTTTGCGAAGTTCAAATTTCGGTTCAGTATCTTTTTAAAGCCCTCTGACGCCTCCGGTGGCTTTTTAAGCTACCCATGTTACGCTTATTTTCGGAATACCCAGGCATTACTCTTCCCGGCATGCTAACTCTTATCTCGAAATTCGAAACAGCTATTGAGGAAACGTCAAATGAAGGTGACGCCAACACCAACATTGCTCTCTGGTGGGGTGACGTCCCATTTTGTATAACTTAAAAGTCGAGAGGCAGCCCCAAAAAAACATTATTTTGCACGTTTTTTTTTCTTTCTCGTTTTGCTGGCGTGAGTTTTTCCAGCATTCATTTCAACCCATCAAACTTGGTTTAACCCGTCTGGAACAAGCCCTATTACAACCTGGATGAATGGATGCGTGACAGTGACTGTACCCTTTCCAAAACCCCAAAAGTATTCCTTCCCTCACCCTTCTAAGTCAATTTGCTCGTCCTCTACATAATTGTAACTATCACCAGGCAGTGTGGGACATGGCCGGGATCGACCTTTGGGTGATCGGGCAAAAAAGCTAAAAGCGTCACCCCCTCGCCTCGTATACCCCAGGCGATGGAGTCGCCGATTTTCCTCTGGTCAAACCTAGTCGGCGTTACCCCAACCTCGGGCTCGTTGGGAGACAGGGTTAAGACCCTGGAGCCGGAGCCACGCTGGAGAGAGTCCCAATTTTTCTCTGCCTCATTTGTCCCCAGCCGTGCTAGTTAGTTGTTCTTCATTCAATCTTTCCTGGATAATTTCTACCAAATCTTTTAACCTCATTTTTGGGTCTGTAATCCTTTCCACCTCCATTCTTCCATCCTCGTCAGCAAAACGCAGAGCCCCCGCCAGATCCATTACTCTTTCAGGGAGGACAGGACGAAGCCCCGTGCACTTCAAAACCAAATGCTCTAGTGTCTCACACTCACGATGGCATACGGCACATAATATGCTTATCGCTTTACTACATTCGACGTCACGTTTTTATTGCTGCCTGCCAGTATTGCCTCTCAGCACCTCAGGCCAAATTTAAAGATCCAATAAGTTAGCAAAAAAAATTGTGACTTGTAATTTGGGCTACCAATTCAGACGTGTATATTAATGCGCTGAAGGACTTTTGAGGCAAATCAGTGACTATCAAGATTTCACCAGAGCTTCCCTTGGGCGTCTTTATTCTTCAGGCTAAGCAGGCCTTGGATTCTACAATTATGGCCTGTCTGAAAGAAGTCAAAGGAGACATGCAGGACGTGGACGACCTGAAACAAGCCGTCTGCAAGACGACGTCTATGAGGAGGAAGGTATCCACGCGCTCACCCTGCTTTTACATTACGTCGTTCTGCATTGCGAAGTCTACGAACATTTGGCTGCCGGAGCCAAAGTTTAGTATGGTGTCATCGTTTCCAGCTGAAGTAGTTAAAAAATACTCGCATTGAAATCCGTCTTGCAAAACAAAACAAACAAAAATGACGAGAAAATGAACATTTACCTCTAATATGTAAGAGGTAAACATTACCATAACTTAGGCTTGAGCGTTTCTAAAAAGGATGTCAAGCTCATTCCGTCAAATTCTCAAAATGTATTCTAATGGGCCTACATCCCAATAGTTTGAACTTAAAAAAAGAAGCAGAAAAGCAAACAGACGTGGTTTTTGTTTTGAAACCTATACGCCACCAATTAAAGTTGGTAAAATAGTGAGCTATTTTTGCTGTTGACCTTCAAATGTATTGCATTTAGAACATAGAAATTGAATTAATAGTAATACCTTGGTAAGAATTAAGATACGAATTGCAGCATGTTGTTTATTGCTCATACCCCCAGATGATCATATCAGATAAATAAAGTATCAGTTACATGTACACACTGAAAGAATAAACGCAGGGGAGGACACGACGGCACATCTTTCGGGAGGGGAAGGGCGAAGAGGAAGGGAGTGAAAAGAAAAAAAAAATCCTCCCTCTTCACCCTTCCTTCGGGAAGAAACTTGCCCACTCCAATAAACTCTTTATGTGTTGAAGGTTGAAAGGTCTGTCGCCGTGGTTGTCCATGTGTTTATTCATAAGGCCCGTTCACACTCCTGCAACCGAACACGGCCGAGAGAGACGAGCCTATCAATGTTTCTTAAAACGAGAGAACACACTGGCACTCTGGCGCCATCTATGCGGTAACCCTGGAACTTTACTTCACAAGAGCGAAGGTTTTGCGGGATTTGAGAGGTGAAATGTGCGTAATACCTATAAGAAAGACTCGTTTATAACGTTGCCAAAAGTTTTTCGAGCCATGAAAGAAAGGATAATGCGCGAGAGAAATAGAAAATATGCCGGACCGCCAAGTTTCCACTGCTATCCAATAAATGGCGTCAGTTTGTTTTCTCGTTGTAAAAGGTATTAAAAGGTTCCAAGGCACCAGATTCTAAGAAGTCGCAAGAGTTTAAACGGGCGTTTACAGTAACGCGAAAATCCATCAACGTGCTCACCTTATAAGCATTTATTAGATGTAGAAGGCCTTTAATAAAATGAATCTTTGTACTGCGTTGAAAAATACAGCGTGTTTTTTTTTAGCTGCACCAAATTTTCAAAAAAGGAGAACGTGAGATAGCGTAATTTAAGCCATGGGGAAGTGTTAATGGCCATGGCGGCCACTAGAAAAAAGGTGAAATTAGGTAATTAGTTAGTTAATTAGCTAAAATGTTTTAACTAACTTTTTAATTTTTCACTTGAGAGTACATAATGTATTTAGGGAATTGAAGTTCGACCTCAATATGGTCTAGCCCTGCCATCAAAGTTTGATTAAAAAATTTGTAGTAGGTGCTACGGGGTCAGTAATTTCACTTTGGTACACGGCGTCAAACCGAAACTAAACGAGGAAGAGCGCCGGTAAAGTTTTCGCTCCGCCCTTTCGGGCATCCGATTTGTTATTATTGCGGCCGGCTCCACTTGCTTAGGCGAAGCTGGCTGCGATAACGACGATCCACGGGGCCGGAAGGTCGGGGCGATTACTTTACCGGCGCTCTTTCTCGTTTAGTTTCGGTTTGACGCCGTGTACCAAAGTGACATTTCTTGACCTCGTAACACCTACTACACATTTTTTAACCAAACTTTGATGGCAGAGCTAGACTATATTGATGTCGAGCTTCAATTCTCTAAATACAATATGTGCCCTCAAGAAAAAAATTAAGAAGTTAGTTAAAACATTTTAGTTAATTAGCTAACTAATTACCTAATTTCATCCTTTTTCTAGTGGCCGCCATGGCCACTAACACTTCCCCAGGGCTTAAATTACTCTATCTCACGTTCCCTGTTTTTGAAAATTTGGTGCAGTTAAAAAATAAACAAAAAACACCCTGTATACTCTGCTGTAAAAAGATAAGTTGCTTTCTTGAAAAGTGGTGTTACCTAAATCGTTTGATTTTTCAGTTCCTGGAGTGCTTCAAGAATGACGTGGGTGGCGCGCTGATCGTAAGACCCATATTTTTTCAATTATTGAAATTTTGTTATGATACATTACTTTTGTTTGGTTCTCGATCACTTTATTTCGCCACGGTTCGACTGCAGTAGCTATCAAGAGTAATGCCCATTGATACACTCAAACGCACCCCATGACAGTAACACGCTGTCGTTCTAATATATGTAGCTCCTTTTTTTGTTTAGCTCACATACGCACAAGTCACATTAGTTGTCGTATGGCGTAGGCAGTATTCCTAGTTTAAATATACGTTTCGTAGCCTTTGTGGTAAGCACTACACGGTGCGTAGTGCTTATTACATTACAGTGATTAGATTAGGACAGGCCGATTGATTTTGATATATATTTCATAATTCTAGGAAAATAGCATCTTCAATCAGCAGAGCCGCTCCAAGGGCAAGGAAATTTTGGTACGTTTTAAGACATTGCACGCAACCTTGTACGAAGGTATCTTCGACGCAGTTGCTTAGCCGTGTGTTCATCTTCTTTCTACCCGCTGCAGAAATGCTACGAAGCCGCACTGAAGTAGTCCACAGCATTCAGCCTGCACGGAAGACGCCATAATACTTCAATAAAGAGTTGGTTGTCTACGCCTTGTGTAATGTATTTAATATAGTTGGCGTATTTAGAGCAAAATAAAGTTCTGTTGATCATTCTATTGGCGCCGCTAACGTTAAAAAGTCGTCTAGTTAATATACTTTCGACAATGAAATCAGTTAGAAGCAATAATGAGTTGTAGGATAAAAGCGCTAAAACGACTATGGACAAGTTAAGGGACGACGAACGCTACAGAGTTCTATTTGCATCTGAAGTTTGATAATAAAAAAACGTATACCCCGTGATATCTAAAAGAGATATGACCTAGGCAAAGTGTTTCGTCAATCCACATCTTCTTGCGGATGAAGGCGAAAAGACTTAGAATATAATGATATGAAAATAAAGGTTTAATCAGTGAACTTGTGACAGAAACAAAAGGAAGCACGAACGCTGAGTAAGCAGCAGCAATGGACCTTTTCCACATACCGACGGCACCAGGCGGTGGCTGGGCGAACTAAAAATCAAGGAAGTGACCTACCTGCGCTACCAATCGATAATGGGAGCTACGCTACGAGTTTCTTCGCTCTTTGAGCAGTGGCGCCTGCCCAATGGGACTTGAAACAGGGGCATCCGTGGCGTCCACCCAAACGTCGTGTTTTCCTTTCCGTCGACCTTCTTTTTTTGTATAACACAATTATAAATATGCTGCAGTTACGCGTTCTACTCGCTGATATACAGCCTCCTTCCGAATTTCCTCGAATTTTCGTTCCGACTTCCGCCGCTTGGCATCCGGCGCTCGCGCGTGCGCAGAACGCTTCTCGGAAAAGGTTTATCATCGACGGCGGCAGCAGCGAGGGACGGCGACAGCGGCGTGACAGCTGGATAGCGCGAAAGTGAATGTGCCCCAGTGTCGGGAAATTCTGAGTGAATCGGCAAAACCGCGCTCGGCTCCTTGTATATCTACTATACTCGGCATCTAGAACATTCAACCTATAATATTCGGGATTGAGCTAGGGACATGACTGACTATAATCCATTGCAACTCAAGAAGGTAAACGAGGGAAGGGAAGGCGAGGGAGGAGGAAGCAGACGGAACGCTGGGGAGAGGAGGAGGTTTCCCCTTTTCTTCTCCATCATTCCGTCTGCTTCCACCTCACCGGCCTCTTTTCCCTCACCTTAGCTTCTTAAGTTGCAACGGACTATACGCAATGTCATTCTGGGTAAGATTCTGTTACACTCGGATAAGAATAAACACAAATCTTCTAGACACACGGAGAAGGGTTACTCCTCGGTCATGCAAGTGGCATTATCATGTTTACCGCTCAAACACTTTCAAGTATGCCACGTCAGAGGCGGGGATGGTTATCATTTGAGCCCGTTCTCGTTTCGCCTTTCTCACTTGACCCTTCTCAAAACCACCATCCTCAAAAAGATCTTCTCGCTTTGACCTGTCGGATTTGGCCCTTTCCCATTTCGTCCTTCACATTTCAACCCCCTCATTTGAGCCCCTTCTCTTTTCACCCTTCTCATTTGGCCCTTCTCAAAACAACCATTCTCAAAAATATCTTCTCGCTCTGACTTGTCGCATTTGGCCCTTTCCCATTTCGTCCTGCGTATTTCAACTACCCTTATTTGAGCCCGTTCTCGTTTCGCCCTTCTCACTAGGCCCTTCTCAAAACAACCATCCTCAAAAAGATCTTCTCGTTTTGACCTGTCGCATTTGGCCCTTTTCCATTTCGTCCTGCGTATTTCAACTCCCCTTATTTGAGCCCGTTCTCGTTTCGCCCTTCTCACTTGGCCCTTCTCAAAACAACCATTCTCAAAATCTTCTCGCTTTGACATGTCGCATTTGGCCCTTTCCCATTTCGTCCTGCGTATTTCAACTCCCCTCATTTGAGCCCGTTCTCTTTTCGTTCTTCTCACTTGGCCCTTCTCAAAACAACCATTCTCAAAATCTTCTCGCTTTGACCTGTCGCATTTGGCCCTTTTCCATTTCGTCCTGCGTATTTCAACTCCCCTCATTTGAGCCCGTTCTCGTTTCGCCCTTCTCACTTGGCCCTTCTCAAAACAACCATTCTCAAAATCTTCTCGCTTTGACCTGTCGCATTTGGCCCTTTCCCATTTCGTCCTGCGTATTTCAACTCCCCTCATTTGAGCCCGTTCTCTTTTCGCCCTTCTCACTTGGCCCTTCTCAAAACAACCATTCTCAAAATCTTCTCGCTTTGACCTGTCGCATTTGGCCCTTTCCCATTTCGTCCTGCGTATTTCAACTCCCCTCATTTGAGCCCGTTCTTGTTTCGCCCTTCTCACTTGGCCCCTCTCAAAACAACCATTCTCAAAATCTTCTCGCTTTGACCTGTCGCATTTGGCCCTTTTCCATTTCGTCCTGCGTATTTCAACTCCCCTCATTTGAGCCCGTTCTCTCTTCGCCCTTCTCACTTGGCCCTTCTCAAAACAACCATTCTCAAAATCTTCTCGCTTTGACCTGTCGCATTTGGCCCTTTCCCATTTCGTCCTGCGTATTTCAACCTCCCTCATTTGAGCCCGTTCTCTTTTCGCCCTTCTCACTTGGCCCTTCTCAAAACAACCATTCTCAAAAAGATCTCGCTGTGACCTGTCGCATTTGGCCCTTTCCCATTTCGTCCTGCGCATTTCAGCCCACCTCATTTGAGCCCGTTCTCTCTTCGCCCTTCTCCACTTGGCCCTTCTCAAAACAACCATCCTTAAAAAGATCTTTTCGTTTTGAACTGTCGCATTTGGCCCTTTCCCATTTCGTCCTGCGCATTTCAGCCCACCTCATTTGAACCCGTTCTCTCTTCGCCCTTCTCCCTTGGCCCTTCTCAAAATAAACATAATGTAAACGTTTTTGTCGCTTTGACCAGTCGCATTTGGCTCTTTCCCATTTCGTCCTTCGTATTTCAACTCCCCTCATTTGAGCCTATTCTCTTTTCGCCCTTCTCGCGTGGCCCTTCTTAAAACAACCATTCTCAAAAAGATCTCGCTTTAACCTGTCGCATTTGGCCCCTTCCCATTTCGTCCTGCGCATTTCAGCCCACCTCATTTGAGCCCGTTCTCTCTTCGCCCTTCTCCACTTGGCCCTTCTCAAAACAACCATCCTCAAAAAGATCTTCTCGTTTTGAACTGTCGCATTTGGCCCTTTGCCATTTCGTTCTACGTATTTCAGCCCACCTCATTTGAACCCGTTCTCTCTTCGCCCTTCTCCCTTGGCCCTTCTCAAAACAACCATTATCAAAAAGATCTTCTCGTTTTGAACTGTCGCATTTGGCCCTTTCCCATTTCGTCCTACGTATTTCAGCCCGCCTCATTTGAACCCGTTCTCTCTTCGCCCTTCTCCCTTGGCCCTTTTCAAAACCAACATAATGTAAACGTTTTTTTCGCTTTGACCAGTCGCATTTGGCTCTTTCCCATTTCGTCCTTCGTATTTCAGCTCCCCTCATTTGAGCCTATTCTCTTTTCGCCCTTCTCACTTGGCCCTTCTTAAAACAACCATTCTCAAAAAGATCTCGCTTTGACCTGTCGCATTTGGCCTCTTCCCATTTTGTCCTGCGCATTTTAGCCCACCTCATTTGAGCCCGTTCTCTCTTCGCCCTTCTCCACTTGGCCCTTCTCAAAACAACCATCCTCAAAAAGATCTTCTCGTTTTGAACTGTCGCATTTGGCCCTTTCCCATTTCGTCCTACGTATTTCAGCCCACTTCATTTGAGCCCGTTCTCTCTTCGCCCTTCTCCACTTGGCCCTTCTCAAAACAACCATCCTCAAAAAGATCTTCTCGTTTTGAACTGTCGCATTTGGCCCCTTCCCATTTCGTCCTGCGCATTTCAGCCCACCTCATTTGAGCCCGTTCTCTCTTCGCCCTTCTCCACTTGGCCCTTCTCAAAACAACCATTATCAAAAAGATCTTCTCGTTTTGAACTGTCGCATTTGGCCCTTTCCCATTTCGTCCTACGTATTTCAGCCCACCTCATTTGAACCCGTTCTCTCTTCGCCCTTCTCCCTTGGCCCTTCTCAAAACAACCATTATCAAAAAGATCTTCTCGTTTTGAACTGTCGCATTTGGCCCTTTCCCATTTCGTCCTACGTATTTCAGCCCACCTCATTTGAACCCGTTCTCTCTTCGCCCTTCTCCCTTGGCCCTTTTCAAAACAACCATTATCAAAAAGATCTTCTCGTTTTGAACTGTCGCATTTGGCCCTTTCCCATTTCGTCCTACGTATTTCAGCCCACCTCATTTGAGCCCGTTCTCTCTTCGCCCTTCTCCACTTGGCCCTTCTCAAAACAACCATCCTCAAAAAGATCTTCTCGTTTTGAACTGTCGCATTTGACCCTTTCCCATTTCGTCCTACGTATATCAGCCCACCTCATTTGAGCCCGTTCTCTCTTCGCCCTTCTCCACTTGGCCCTTCTCAAAACAACCATCCTCAAAAAGATCTTCTCGTTTTGAACTGTCGCATTTGGCCCTTTCCCATTTCGTCCTACGTATTCCAGCCCACCTCATTTGAACCCGTTCTCTCTTCGCCCTTCTCCCTTGGCCCTTCTCAAAACAAACATAATGTAAACGTTTTTGTCGCTTTGACCAGTCGCATTTGGCTCTTTCCCATTTCGTCCTTCGTATTTCAACTCCCCTCATTTGAGCCTATTCTCTTTTCGCCCTTCTCACTTGGCCCTTCTTAAAACAACCATTCTCAAAAAGATCTCGCTTTGACCTGTCGCATTTGGCCCCTTCCCATTTCGTCCTGCGCATTTCAGCCCACCTCATTTGAGCCCGTTCTCTCTTCGCCCATCTCCACATGGCCCTTCTCAAAACAACCATCCTCAAAAAGATCTTCTCGTTTTGAACTGTCGCATTTGGCCCTTTCCCATTTCGTCCTACGTATTTCAGCCCACCTCATTTGAGCCCGTTCTCTCTTCACCCTTCTCCACTTGGCCCTTCTCAAAACAACCATCCTCAAAAAAATCTTCTCGTTTTGAACT